TAGCTCATTATTCTTTTCCCTTTTTTTATCGAGTCTTCACTTAATAAATAAAGTTGTACTGATAAAGTAATTATCATGTAATTATGAGATAATGAGTTCAAACTTTCAAAATAATATTTTATATAAATATAGAAAAGATAGGTGTCAAAAATGCACATAAATTATACTTTTTTTTAATTTGCATATCTAACTACTGAAAGTTTGAGTTTCATATCTAAACTATCACTTTTTAGTTTGAGAAATACACCTCAGTGGTATGTTTCTCAAACTAACAAGTGATAGTTTAGATCTGAAACTCACACTTTCAATAGTTTAGATATGAAACTCAAAAAAAGTAAATAGTTTAAATGTGTTTTTGACACTTATCATAAAATTGTTGATAATAGAGGTCTTGTCCTTTTTTGGATCTTATATATAGCTAGAGTTTAGTGTGTCGTGTTTTTTGAGTTCAAGATATGTTATAGTTTTCTTTTATAATCGAAGGTTAAATTGTGTAGTCCCATTTGGTCCTTCTTCAGGCAGAGTCGGAGTCAGAAATTTCATAAAGAGTGTCTACAAATACCAGTTTGTTATGTTAAGGATATCCAAAATATGTTATCTAATCGCTCCGTGTATCATTTTACATATATATATGCTTCTTGTTTTTTCGACAAAGGGTGTCCAATTGCTACGTCATTGTCTTCAGGTTTTGCGCATAATCAAAACTTAGTGTACTGCACAAATTTTTTAGTTTGAGATGTGAAAATAAGTATTGTTAGAAATGCAGAATGAGATTGTGTTTTATAAACTTTTGTAGCTGAGTCTTGTTCAGATAAGGTATATTGCGAGAACTAATTGCACTGAGCTAACTTTTAATATTCTATTTTTGTACTCAATATTCGTTTTTCATTCTGAAATTCAAATAAAACGAATTAGCGTAAAATATTCTTTAACACGATAATTTTATTTTTGATGTTAAATTCACTTTTAAATTAATAGGGGAGAGATGTTTATTAGTTTTCTATTATAAGTTTGGGGAAATAGAACTTTTGATCTCTGTGTTATTATTTTATTCTGATTCTGATTCTTGTGTTATTTGGCTAAGCACATGGGACCTTGATTAATCAAAATGTGTTATTTTGGTCATTTAAATTGACAGATATCATATGTTTAACAGAATTAGTATTTAAAAACATAATACTTTAATAAAAATAAAAATATACTTTAAAAAGAAAAAATATATTATTCATCGTGATCATTATCGATTTGATTACACAATTCTCGTTAAGAATTACTAATGAACTAGTCTTTAATGAACATTACAGAGTAGCTACTAGTCATTGGACTTTTTCCTATTTCACTAAAGTAGAAAGAGGCAGATAAATCATTACTACATAAAAAGTGATACAAATGTAATTAATTAAACTTTCAATCGAGTTATCGGAGCAACCAATTAGAAACATGGACAAATAGAGACTTGACCCAATAAGTTAATAAGACGTTTGTAGTAAATTCATACTTGGATCATTAACCCATTAAACCGAATCATTAACTCAATAATAAAATTATCGATTCAGATTATTAATTTCAATAGTCAAATTATCAATTTCAATTCAAATTTGAATAACCTATTCCAATCCTTTTATCTCCTTTTGAGCATTCATTGACTTGAAGAAATTTTATTCTTAGCCTATTTTTCTAGTGACTTTTGTTCTTCCTATGACTTTATAGTATCTAACCATAAAAATACTTATATTTAGGTTAAATATTTACAAGAAGTTTAAGGCCTTTTAAAAGTAATGAAACTAGTCCATTTTCGTAATAATACAGAACTTCAAATTAAAAAAAATTATTTCTCAAAAGGATTTAACTTAAATTTGACATGAATTGATAAGTTTTTTATTCTTGGGGGTGGGGGGTGGGGGGTGTTGTGCTTCTCAAAATTATTTCGGGATCTTCCTTTTTTAAAATTTAACATACTAATTATGTAATTTAAATATATAACATTTGATCAAAAATTGAAACGACATATTTTAATTAATTGAAAGTTTAATACTTAATCGAATAACACAAGATCAAAATTAAACTAAAATAATAATTCAGAGATCAGAATTGTTGTTTCCCCATAAGTTTTGATTGTGTTAACTTCCTTTGAATTTACCCATTAATCATCTTGTTTGTCTGTATAATCCAAAATTGAATGGTTTTGACTATTATTAGACTTTTGGTTTAATATTATCCTAAAATATTACTCTATTTTTGCTTTTGATTAATAACAGAATTTAAGAATGATTTTGATAATTTAAAGTCCTAGTCAAAAGTAAAAGAGAGAAATTTGGAACTTTTCTTCTTGAAAATATAGGGTACTTGGAGTGAATGTGCTTTTGTTTATTATTATATTAGGTAAATTATTTGTGCTTCGCATGGGATTGGACTATTTTATTAAGCTTACATCTGATCATTTAATAATATTCGTATTTTCAATACTTTATTGGCAAAAATGATTTATCTTTAGAAAAAACGTTTCTTCGAAATCTTTAAGTGCTATATTTTAAAATTTTATTTTTGTTTTACAAAAATTATGAGTCATAGATAGATTTGAAGTATGAGATAGAAGTTTAAGAAAATTTTCTTGGAAATAGTTGGTAAGATGTAATGAAATATTTTAAATTGTAAGAAATTATAATATTAGACATAAAAAAAGACACAAAAAACTGTTGAACAACAACACTCCCAAGTAAAGTGGGAAATCAGGCCCATACAAGATCATTAGTAACTAAATTCAATGGACGATCTTGGACTCCTTTCTTATTAACCTCATTCAATTTCTTTTTTACTATTGTATGCCATATCAAGAATATGATCAAAATGACCCTAAAATTGTTATTATCATAAATTATTTTTTGTCATTGTTTCAAAATAGTCATTGCTATTTTTAAGGTTTCATATCACCGGTCCCAACTTATTTGGATTAAAGTATAGTTATTTTTATGGTTATGATATGTAGTTACAAAAAATTAATGCAATTATAAACCAGGAAGTAGGTGACATCTGAATGTTTCACAAAGGATATAACAAATCAAAATTTTGACACGTAACATATTAAAATCTCACAACATAATTTTGTGAGTACTTGAACACATAAATATCGAAAATTATTATAAAAAGACCTTATTTTCCTAACAATCAAGAAGAAAAAGGCATGTTTCTAATATATTTTTCAAAAATATAATCTTTTGGGGTTGTAACAAGTTTACAGTTCGCAAATTTAATTTAATTGAAAGAATAAAAAAGAAAGAGTTATTTCTTCTTTATCAAAATTTAAAAATTTTATCAAAAGAATGAGTTATCACTACAACAAAAATATTTTTTAATGATAATTAATAACTTAATTATCGTTAAATATGTATTTTCAGAGGTAATTGATACTCTGTATAAATGTCCTTAAAGTCAATAGAAACATTGAATTAAATAACAATTAATTAATGTCGGTAAATATTGTAGCACTCTTGTGAATGTTCATATTTATTACCGATAAAAAATATTTTTGTTATAGTGTATTTTAGATATTTTTTAGTTTCACCAAAACTTAATATCTTATTATGCTCAAAAATAAGAGAAGAACAAATATGAAAAATTTGTTAGTATGCAATAAGAAATGTGGCTATACAAATATTCTAGAAATAATGCAATGACATACAAAATGTTTGTACCTTAAAAAATAATCAATATAATATACTAATTGTGGCAAGCAAGAGAGCAATAATTTTGGTTCTTTTTAAGAAACTTCATCATTAATTCCATATTAGTTAGCAAATATTTGTTGTTGTTTGCTATCAAATATAGCACAACACAGAAGCAATTTTCTCAAAAAGTATATGAAGAGAACCTGTTGAAAGTAAAAAAAAAAAAAGATAAATTTTCAATCTTCCTCACTTGAATTTTGAACATAATTCAAAAGAAAAGTCACCAAAATAGCAAAAAAAGTCGCAATTGATACGTGCATCACTATGATTTAAAGTAAAAAATTAAACTTCATGAAATAGGAGGAAGAAAACTTTGAGAAATGAAATGCACTTTATAAGAAGCTTAATTAATGTATTTGAATTTGAAAAATATATACAAATAACTACAATAGAAATAAAAGATTTGTTTACTAAAGAACCAAATATAATGAATTCAATCATCAATAATTTAGCAGTGTATGAGTTGTGCACTAAGAGTTCCAAGAGTAGTAATGTAGCATTCCAATTGAAATCAATTTCTTTTGTTTATATGAAAGAAACCTGTAGAAAGGGACAAAAGAGAAGATAAATTTTCAATCACCCTTGCTGAATTTTAACATAGTTAAAGAAAGGTCACCACATTAGAAAAAAAAATATCATAGTGAGATTAATCACTATGACTTATGGCAAAGTTTAAGCTACATGAAAACATTCAAGAATGAAACAAACATCAAAAAAAAAAAGCTCAATTAATATATTTGAATTTGACTATTCTGTAGTGGAAAAAAAACTAAAAATTATAGTGGCAAGAAATTTCTCTATTTATAGAAAACATAAGGTAGTGTGAATAAATATTTATTGTGTCTTATTGGAAAGGTTACAACTCTTTGAAAAAGTTACAATCCTTTAGAAAGGTCACAACTTTTCATAAAAGTATGAGTTTTTTACAAAAATCACAACTCTTCGTAAAAGTCACAACTCTTCGTAATAGTTACAACTTTTCAAAAAAGTCACAACTTTTCATGAAAATGGAAGGACAATTTTTTTAAAATAAATAAATTTAAAATGGAATTCTGATTTTTGGTGGCGCCACTTAGGCGGGTCTAGGGTTCTTATATATATATATATATATATAAACGAAAAATGGAATATATAGGATTAATACATAATAGATATTTGATTTAATATTAGATAAACTTAGATATTTTTTATTGGGATAATACTCAATTACCTCCCTAGCCTATACCCAAAATCCCTGAGACACACCTTATCTTTAATGAGGTCCTATTACCCCCTCCAATTTTTTTTAAGTAATTAATTACCACATCAATACCTACGTGGCAATAATAATCAGAATGGTTGATGTGTTTGTTCAACACGCGTCGGGCCCCACTTTTGCAGCTTTTGAAAAAGTAACTATCAGCTAATTTTACACTTCCCAAATTCGAAAAGCTGGCCATTTATGTTTTCAAAATTACTTTACCAAAAAGTAGATAAAGTAACAAGGAAAGAAAGAGGAAAAGTGCTGCATGTGTGGATCGATTTCAAAGGTTAGAAATTTGATTTCAAACTGAAAGTTGATTTTCGATGTTGGATTTTGATAGTTAGTTTTTGTTTCAGTGCTGCATGTGTGAATCGATTTCAATCGTGAAAGTGTGGGTCGATTTCATTCAGCAAGAATTGTGGTTGAGTTGAGTTCAAAGGTTAGTTTTTTCTTCATTTATTTTTTTTTTGTTATTGTTATGCTTAGATTTTGTAGGAATTATGATATGTTGTTAAATATTGATTTCGATTTTAAGTGAAATATAAATTTTAGGGTTTATATTGTGATTTTGTTAGATATCAAATTTCGTATTTTTAGGGTTGATGTTATTCATATATTCATACTGTCACCTTTGTTGTTATGGGGTATGTAACTTGCTATTCATACATTTATATGAAACGTATTTTGAGTGTGGGTTGGTTGGGTGGTATTATAGTTGTGTGAGTTATGTTGTTATAATATGAAACATGCAAGAAGATAAAGACGAGTTGGGTGTTGTGTTGTGTTGTCTTATATTCTGGGTTACAATAAAGTAACTTCATGTTGGGTGTTGTGTTGTGTCTGTGGGTGTGGGGTTAAAGTTAAATAACATTATCCTAAGAAGAAAATATATGTTGGGTGTTGTGTTGTGTCTATGTGGGGTTACATACCTAATTGTAAGAAGATAAAGATATGTCGTGTATTGTGTTATTTATGTGGGGTATTGTGTTATGTATGAGTGGGGTTGGGTATGTGTTTTCTTCAACTTGAATTGTTTTTATAAGTATTTGGGTATGTGTTTTCTTTAGTCAATTATTATATTCTATTAGCAACTTTTACTTAATTATTGTTATGTTTATGCATATAGGTATGAGTGGGTTTACATTCATTATTTTAAAGTTATATCATGATGGGGCCTTATTGTATGAAGGTGATAAAGCAAGATATGTGGGTGGGTTAGTGAGTGAATATTATGATATTGATGTGGATACAATATCATATTTTGAGATTAAAGACTACATTAAAGAACTAGGGTATAGCCCAAATTGCAAATTTAGTGTCCGGCCACCTAATAGTTGCATCTTAGGAGATATTGACAATGATGATATTCTCTTAACAATGTGTAATTGTTTGCAAAGTGGGTCTGTTTTGGAAGTATATGTTCACATGCCTGGTGAGGAGTCTGACAAAGATGATAGTTGTCTAGAGGAAGGTGAAAAAATGAAGTTGAAACTGCCTAACACAAAAAGGAAAAAACATACCATAGAGAGAGTCAAATTTGATCCCAACATTAAGAAGATTGTGTGGCAATTGGGTATGATTTTTGAAAGTGTAAAAGAGTTTAGATTGACAGTCACTAAGTATGCAATTCAGAGAAGGGTTCAGATTAAAAAGTGTGTGAATGAGCCAAATCGAGTAAGGGTGAGATGTTGCAAGGTAAATTGCAAATAGTTGTTATATGCAAGTTTGGACAAGAAGACTAATAACTTTATTATTAAGACTTACATGCAAGTCCATTCATGTCAAAAGGCTACTAGGAATTATTTGTGCAACTCTACATTCATTGCTACTATTTTTAAAAAGAAAGTTATCGAACAACCAAATATCAGAGTGTTCAAGCTGCAAGAGTTAATCTGTAAGAAGTATAATGTGCATGTTGATAAGACCACAACTAGAAGAGCAAGAGCTAAAATTTTGAATGAACTTATGGGTGATCATGTTAAGGAATTTGGGAGAATTCTTGATTATAAGGATGAGTTGTTGAGGACTAATCCTAGGAGTACTTGTGTGGTGAAGCTAGGAGAAGCTAATGAATATGGTAGGCCAGTATTTAAGGCATTTTACATTTGTTTTGCTGCACTCAAGATAACATTTATGTCAGCTAGAAAATGCATTGGTCTGGATGGTTGTTTCTTGAAGGGGGTTTGCAGGGGTCAATTACTTATTGCAGTGGCTAAAGATGGCAATAATCAAATGCTTCCACTTGCTTGGGCTGTATTTGAAAATGAGAACACAATCACTTGGAGTTGGTTTATTTCTCTGTTGAAAAAAGACTTGAGATTAGCAGATGGAACAAGTTTCACAATTATGTCAGACATGCAAAAGGTAAACTTGTTTTAAATTATCTGTTGGTTTATTATTTTTTAAACTTAATTATGTAATGTTTGTTGTAACTTGTAGGGACTGGATATAGCTATAAAGGAGTTGTTGCCAGCTTGTGAGGAAAGAAGGTGTGCTAGGCATATACTAGCAAATTGATCAAAGAATTGGAGAGGGCTGCAAAGGAAGAAGCAGTTCTGGAAGTGTGCTAGAAGTACTTTTGAAGCTGAATTCTGAGAAAATCTGCACGAATTGTCTAAATTAGGTACTGGAGGTACAGGTATAGTGGATGACCTAATTTACTATGATAAAGAATATTGGTGTAAGGTATATTTTAATTGTGAAGTCAAGTTTGATGCAATAGAAAATAATATGTTGAAAGCTTTAATGCTTGGATTTTGTCTGCAAGGCATAAAACCATTATTACTATGTTTGAAGGGATAAGAATTAAGGTCATGAATAGGTTAGCTAGGTTAAGTGAATTTCCAAACTCTTGGATAAGCAGTTTCTCTCCAATGGCAATGAATGTATTAGAACAAAATATTGATAAGTCAATGGCATATAACATTGAGTTTAGTGGAGTAACTAGCTATGAGGTTTTGGATGGATACAAACAACACACTATATGTTTGAGAAAGAGGGAGTGTAGTTGTAGATCTTGGATGTTGAAGGGTATACCATGTGCACATGCCTTAGCTGCAATGTTGCATAAACAATATGACCCACATGATTTCATTCATTCATGCTACTCTAAAGAGAGGTACTTGATGACTTACTCACATTTCATACAACCTATGAATAACATGCCGATGTGGCCAGAATTAAAAAATCCTCTTGTTGATCCACCAGTGATAAAACAAATACCAGACAAACCTAGAAAGTTGAGAACGAAAAAGGTTGGTGAAAAGAAGGTGTCTGGTAAATTATCCAAAACAGGACTAACTATGACATGTAGTCTTTGCCATGTTAAAGGTCACAATAAAAGAAGTTGTCATTTACGAAGGAGTGATGGAGTTGGTTCTACTGCCGGGGAACAGAGAATTATCCCTACTTCAAATGTTGAAGAACCATCAAGTTCAAAAAAAGGAAGGGGAAGACCGATGGTACATTACTATTTTGTCACTTACTTTTAAGTGTAATCAACTTACTAATATAATATTTTTTTTTTTGCTAATTAGAAATCAACAAATATTGAGAGTGAGCCTGTTGCCAAAAGGGGGAGAGACAGACCTAAAAACACAAGTGCAAATGCAAGTGCAACAGGGGATTCACCTACAATTATTGCACCTCCAACAACTTCAAGAACAACAAGAGCTACAGCAAGTGCAAGTGCATCAAGGGCCTCTCCTAGAACCACTGCACCTCCTACAACTTCAAGAACACCAACACATGAAGCAAGCGCAAGTGTAAATGGTGTTAGAGTATTATCAAGATCCAGGAGTGGTAGAGGAAAGGGTAGGGGATTGGGAAGTGCAGGAAGCGGTAGTAATCATCCACTTGAAAATTGGTTTACATGTTCTCATGGTAGTACAACATAGGGTGTAGACCAGAACACAAATGTTGCACCAAAGGAAACTACTACTACCAGGAAAGGAAAGGGTGTTGAAAACACAACTCAATTTAAAAGGCGAAGAGTCACTGGTATGGGTGTGTTTCAAGCTAAAAATGGTTTCAAAAATTTCAATGTAAGTATTGCGATGCATTCATATTGTTTGTTCTCTAATAACTTGCACATTTATTCTCTAATAATCTTAGTTCTCTAAAAATTTTGTAGCCTAGACTGCCAAGTAGCACAATATTAGCCGAACCAAAGAGAGTTTTGAGATCAAGTATTGTAACTGGGGATGTTGGTTTCAAACCGACAAGTGGATTGAAGTGGAAAGGAAATCAGGCAATCACAACTAGAAGGCTCCAGCAGATTAGAGATCAATCAAGGCTTTCAAACTCAAATGCTTCCTCCTCTTCACAATCTCGACACCCATGGAAACTATAATGTTGATATCAATGGTGTTTTATCAGTCATTTTTTGATGGCCACTATAAGTACTATTTTGTTTCATGTTTGAAGGAAAACTAAATATTTCTATTTTTTGTTATAGTACTGAAATTATGGGTACTTATGCAATGTGAAAACTTTATTTTGCGTATGCGTTGTGACTTGTATAATTTTGGGCACATTTAGATTTTGTACTGAAAATTTGCTCTTAAGCAATGAAATTCTGGGCACCTATGCGCTGTGACTAATTCTCTGCGCTTTTACAATCAACTTTGTACTTAAAATTTGCTCTTAAGAATGATTTACACCTCTTGCTTTACTTCATTTTAGAACTTCCAACACAAACATATCAACATGGCAAATAGAGAATTAAGACAGTTTCAAACACAAACAAATTCAATTTTACATTACAATAGAGCAAATAAAGGTTTCGTTACCACACAAAATTATGTTAATTTCATATGATCCTTATACCTACCAACTTGGGTTAGAAAACTAACAAATACAACAACAAAACAAATCATCACACAACAAAGGAATTTGCCAAAACAACAGCCTTTATTTGTTTTCTTCATTTTCATCCCTTTCACCTTCTTCTTGTCTTTCAATTCACCTATTTCTTTTACGTTGTCAACCTTCTCCTTTGAATTGATGTTCAGATTTTCATAACGATTTCGAAGACTTTCACCTTCATCCAAAGGAATTTTCTCTAGTTTTGACTATTTAATGTTGGAATTATCAAGCTGTTCCAGTTGCATCTTCACACGCTCATATTTTTTTTCTAACTCATTAATTCTATTCACCAATTTTGAAAGAATAAAACGAGATCTTTCATCAACTCTCTCCGTGTCTCTCCATCTAAAGAAATTACAGTTTGTGGCCTCATAGTGAGGACAAGATCAAAATCGTCTTTCGGGATTGCGATTTGACCAAGACGTCTGCATTTGCAGTAAGATTCCATGCTTGCATCGCACTTCCGCGTTAAACATTGAATCGTTCTCATCCATACACAACTTATTCAACTTGGATTTTGTCATAATCCTAACTTTATAAACATTGTCAAAAAAAATAAGAATTAATAATCAACATAAAAAGATGTAAAGAATATATTAAATTTTACTTTACCTTTTCAAATGAAAGAGCTATTTAACTTGAATGATAATGGATAGAGCTTCTTTAAAAATGAAGAACCATGAAAATGGGGGTTCAAAAGAGGAAGACAACTGCTTTAGAGAGAAACATTAATATTTATTTTTGATTTTTTTTCAAATTACTTTGACACGTGACTAACTTTTATTGGTCATTGTTAGGCAAATTCTCCACTCACGCGCCCTAAATTGGTGAATTCACGTGTATTGCCACGTAGGTACGAAAGTGGTAATTAATTACTTAAAAAAAAGTTGGAGGGGTAATAGGACCTCATTAAAAATAAGGTGTGTTTCAGGAATTTTGGGTATAGACTAGGGGGTAATTGAGTATTATCCCTTTTTTATTTTTAATTTGTTGATTAATAGTCCGTTTGAATTGGCTAAAAAGTAGTTTTTAAGTCAAAAAAAAAAACTTAAATAACTTTTAAGTCAAAAGATAAAAAGTAGGAGAGTCCTACTTTTGATTTTTTCAAAATTTATTTTTAATTTTATCAAAAACTTTCTAAAGCTAAAAATGATTTAAAAATAAATTTGGCCAACTGTTAATAAACCGGCTCTAAGAGTATGAATAGATCAAAACAGTCTAATTTCTGCTGATACAAAAATAAATTTATATATTTTCCCCTATTGTTATTTTTCTTAAATTAACAATTGTAATTTCTCTTAAAACTGTAGCATACATTTTTCTACAATTATCAAAGTTATAGTTATTTAATCATCCAATTTTCTTCTCACGAGCCATATGTATCAAAGATATACTAAAAACTCTTATGCCACGGCCCACGTATATTATCTCTGTAAGGTATACAAATAATAATGCCAGCAACTACTATCGTTGCCAACTCTAAATCATGCAGTATCGCGTATACTTTAAAACAACTACATACGCTTCAGTCTCAAACAAGGTGGGGTCGATAAAATAGAAGCCTCACTGACCATGTTTTAGAAAAGGATTGTCACACTATCAAAATCATTTGCTTAACATCCTCTCCCATATCAATGGATTTAAAATTTATGAATTCAACCAAAAAAATGTCCAAAGTGACACAAAGATCTTAGTTTAATAGACTTTTGGTCAAAATCAAATTTACAAAAATATTGTTCCTCTACATAGTAATTACATTACATGAGTGTAAATTTAGCAAAACAAGCTGTCCAACTGGCTTGAATTACCCAACAAGTTGTTCTACACTTGAGATAGTTGCCATTGGCATCTAGGTTTAAGCAAAAATAAACTTTTTGTACAAAATAAATACATCAGAATGACCAGCTCGATCGTAAGTGAGGCACCAAGTGATGCTTATGAAATATTAAGTTATCCCTTGAGCATGCAAGGCCTGTGCGGGGTGGTAGTAAGATACCTGAATAAGCTTCGCAACAATCAACTGAAAATTTGTAATTCGCTCTGCTTCAATCCGGCTTTTTCTGGGCTTTTAGTGTGTCAAATGGCTGATTATATGCTCCTTAAGCTGACATGACTAAACAGCAGTGTCTGGCTTCACAAGCCCTTGAAGCTTCCACCCTCCAGGTCCAGCCAGAGAAAATGCCTGAGGAGAGCACTTAAGTTAGAGAAGATCAAACATTTCAGAAACTTCATTTTGTGAATTATGAAGCTATAAAGTTCCATAAAGCACACACAATCATCTTTGTATCTAAGACTCGGATATGGTTCCTCACAGACAAATATGCGTCTTTAAGTTGTTCTCTTCCTGTTTTTGGAGATCACTTTTCAAGAATCTGTATCCAAAATTAGAAGTATCTATAAAGAGCCATTATTCTCTTTAGAAATGTCTGCCTTCCATTCGGATATGGTAATAACCTAATTCCAATACATAACATTTAATGCAAATGATGATTAGACTTCACAATATTTTAGGGTGCAAAGAACCAGTTAGAAAGATAAAAAGGAAAAAGTGAAAGATGGGAAAGTAATATTTACATATTCCATTTGTCTGAAAACATAGTCGTGCATTTATGACTCCTTATAGAAGCAATGGGAGAAAATATTGTATGAAATCAACTGTTTTCCATTGATCTGGAACAAAGTACTCAAAAATCGACCAGCACTGCCCCCCTAAATTTCGGTCACAAGCCAAACACTCGGACCTATTTTTAGTTCACCCTCAATTTGTGATATATGCTCTTAGGAGTGAATGTTGGGCCTTGTGTCACTAAAATCCAACACATCCACATGATAGTCTCAGAGATGTGATACTAAAATAGATGTGTGGTTATACCATATTAGACAAGATTAAAAATGTCAATATTCATTATTCATTATAAGGTACTAGCAACACACAGTGAGGATAAAATGCGAGAAGGTTGCTAAAGATAGTTTGGTCATATCCAGTCGTTGACCGTCATATCCAGTCGTTGACCTCCCAATGCACCAGTCCGTAGGTGAGATACCATGGTGAGTAAAGGTGTGGAACAAGATAGACCTAACACGGAAGGAAATTGTCTCAAAAGGCCTACAATCTTTCAAAATCCATGTAGGGCACAATGGTCGTTTCAGTCATATTAGTATGTTACTTTAGGTAATATTATTTCTATAGTCTTTTAGCCTTAGTAGAGATTTTTCCACTGAAAGAAAATATAGAGAAATTCTAGTACTTGTTATTTTTATTTTGTATAATATTGCGCTAATATGAATTTTAATAGGAGAAACATAATCAGCGAGGATTCATATAGCTGATTTCAACTTGTTTGATACTGAAGAGTAGTTGTTGTTTGAGTTGATACTCATTTGCTTGCTAGGTATTCAATAATTTTCGTGAACTAACCTACCAACAGATAGTTGAAGTCTTTAAAGCAGATTGTCATTTTCTGATAAGATAAAGTGAATATTTCTACACTCTAATAACAATGGAGTTCATGAAATTCCTAGCTACCAAATTACAGATCACTACCATAGATCAGATTTGGTTGACTTATAATAGGAAAGTAGCTAGTTAGGAGTTCTGGTTAAGACAGGAGAGAATTAACTTGGGATGACAAAAGCTAAGGGGGAACAGATGTTCAAATTTCGTTCTTATACGACGGCAAGAAGAAAGCAGGGCTGTAAAACGATACGACAAAGTAATAACAGGCCCTATTTTGGGGGTCAATAGCATTTCATTTCACAGTGGAACTCGGTATACCAACCAACCATTTGCTACTGTAATGCAATTGAATTGCCAAAGTAAGACCGGTAAAATGGAACCAGCAGTTACAGATACAATACCTCTTCCCACGACTTCCCAGTGGCTTCAAGCAAAGCACCATTACAAGTCTTTAGTTCTACAGTAGCACCTGACAACACTGAGGCTGCCTCCTCCCATCCTCTATTGTGTCCCATACACCTGAATAGAGGATCAAATTTTAGTATTTTACTATGAAGCACTTTACCCAATAACTGTCAATTGACATAATGAACTGTCATTTCTCAAACCGGAGATAAAATAGAAGGTCGTAAAAATCCAATAATTGTATTGAGGTTAATAGGACAACCCTTTACACTAACTGCATGCAAAAGCAAAGTATTTCAAAAAACATAAATATCTACAAAGACCGTCTGGTCATCACTACTGATAGAAATATCTTTTATACTCCAAAGCGTACAAAAAGAAACAATTGTAGAAAAGGGTTTTCTTTAACTCTTATGCTTTTATGTTTCTCTCATTCCTTGTGATCCAAGAAAGTGATTAGGGAGTATCTCCTATACCCTCCTACACATCTGCCAGCTGAATATCCATGCAAGTCACTTCTGTGACTAATCCAATTCAACTCCCAAAATACTCCATACCGTATACCATAATTTATATAGCGTAACAAGTGACTGACATTTCACATGTCTTCCTGCACATCAAAACCAACAAATAGTAAAGTTTTTTCCTGCAATGAAGAATGGCTCCCACGTCGTACTTAAAAAATGACA